CTACCCGTAAGATATATATAGAGATAGAGATAGAGATAGATAGATATCTACCCGTAATATAGAGACAGAGACCGAGATAGAGATAGATAGATATCTACCTATAAGATATAGACAGAGACCGAGATAGAGATAAATAGATATCTACCCGTAAGATACAGACAGAGATAGAGATAGAGATAGATAGATATCTACCCGTAATATAGAGATAGAGACCGAGATAGAGATAGATAGATATCTACCCGTAAGATTAAGATAGAGATCGCGTAGATCTCTCCCCGTCGCGACGACCCCGGCCGCCCTAGATAGCCGCTCTGCTTCTTAAACTTCTTAATAGCGAATTGTATACTATTATACTTCTTAATATAGAGATACACTATTGTATAATGCCCTTTGCCGAGCTGCTCTTATATTATATATTGCTATCGGAACCCGCTTCCGTCCTTAATCTTCCGAAGGTATTTAAAGATAAAGTTAGCTTCGCTAACAATAGATATCTCGTCTCTATCCTAAAGCTTACGTCTCTTATTACGTCCGAGCAATTAGTTATTTATCTACGTACCGTTGCCGCTTAAGTCCTTAAGGATTGTAGTAGTACTGCTATACTTATTCTCTAAGAATATAAAGCAAAGCCGGTTACTTACCGTCGTACTCCTAACAAGCTTATTATATTCTAGGTACCGTCCGATTAGATAGCCGCCTACTAGAGCTCTATTCTTCGCTTTGTCCTCCTCGTACTACCTGTAATATAGAGATAGAGATAGAGATAGAGATAGATAGATATCTACCCGTAAGATCGAGATAGAGATCGCGTAGATCTCTACCCGTCGCGACGACCCCGGCCGCCCTAGATATCTACCTATAATATAGAGATAGAGAGGGAGATAGAGATAGACGCGCCTGCCTATAGCCCTCTACCCGTCGTCGCAACTACCCTAGCGGCCCTAGATCTCTACCCGTTAGATAGAGGTAGAGATAGAGATAGAGATAGAGATAGAGATAGAGATAGATATAGAGATAGACATAGAGACGGAGATAGATATAGAGATCTAGATTAAGATAGATATAGCGATAGAGATACAGACGGAGATAGAGATAGAGATAGAGATATAGATAGAGATAGAGAGGGACCCGCCCGCCTATAGACCTCTGCTTATCGCGACGCCCCCGGCGGCCCTAGATATCTACCCGTTACGACGACTACTATATAACCGGAGCCCTACGGCCGCGCGAAGGAGACAGGCGACAGCGCGAGGGCAGGGCAGGTATCGCCGTACTCCCCCGACCGTAGGCGCGTTAGCTCCCGGTCTCTCGAGGAGGAGGGAGTATATAGCGACTACTCCGCGCGGATAGGTAAGGTACCTAGGTCGCCCTCCGCCGGACTCCTTCGAAGAGGTAATCTAGATAGGATGCTCGTAGGTAGTCGTAGTCTACCTCTAAGCGACGACGGCGATAGCAAGTATATAGGACAGAGGTATAGAAGCAGCCCGTCGTACTCCGCTAGCTATATAGCTAGTACTACTAGTACGCTCCCTAGTAGCAATCGACGCTCCTAGGCTATTACTAGCTAGAACTATAGGGCCCGAGAGATATTAATCCGGAATCTGTTATAATTCCTACAGTCGTAGGTAGCTCTAGAACCGGCGTATAATATAGCTTCTAAAGGGAACGGTACGAGCTCGTCTATCTGCCTTAAAAGGCTATAGTAACGATAATAGAACCTCCTCTAACGCGGGTTGTATAGTCTACAATAGTAGTAGAGAGGTAGTCCTCTAATAGTAGTATCGATATATCGCGTACGTATTATATAGTACCGTTCTATCGACGAGGAAGTACCTGCTCGACGTTGAACCTATTAAGCCCTAAAGGAACGATATATTATTATATCCTATAATAAATAGTATATCTAGTAGCCCTCCGTTGCGCTATCTCGATACCCGTCCTCTCTAGAATAGAGACCGCCCCTCCTTATTTTTCTAGTACTACTCTTGTAGGAGATCCCTCGAGATATAGGAATAGAGATAGATAGTATCTTATATACTATCGCTCGTCTCGAATCGATCTGTTGTAACCCTTACCCTAAGGGCCTATTTAGTAGGCGTTTAGGCAACCTACGGTAGGTTCGTAGATAGGTCGCTCGATATATAGATTCTTATCTAATATACGTACTTAATACTCGTAGATAGCCGTATATACAAGTTGACCTACGCTACTGTTTGTTTCGTATATTGTTTAATAGATTATTCCGTATCGTACTGTAATATAAAGAATCTGCCTTAGGTATATCCGCTATATAACAACTTATATTATACTTAGGTTAGATACGATTAATACTACTACTCTCTACCTCGTAGCTTATAGCGTATAAAGACAGTAACTTAATATATAAACAGCTATCCGGAACTAATAATAGTATATATAATAGTACCCTCGATTATACCTCTTTACAAGCTAGTTAGACTAATACCTACTATTCGATACTATGTTCTAAGTTTAATATAGCCCTCCGAAGCAAGCGTAACGCTAGTAAGAGTTAGAATTAGCTCTTTAACGAGAAGGCCGACCGTAATGCTATAGTATTACGAGCTACTCGTATAGTTAATAGGGTAGTAACTATAGAGAATATCTCTATACCCCTACTATCGCGTCCCGACCTACTAACTAGGGCTTCCTCGTAGACCTAACTATACGCTGCTCTACTAGACGTTTGCCTTCCGTCGTAGGAAGATCGTCCTCTATCGTAGAACGACGTCCCGTTCGAAGGGTCTTATAGCCTAACACTCGATAAAAGCGTAGGCCAATTTAGTAAGAGCTAGCTATCGACATACGACGACGCCTACGATATATATAGGTCTTAATCCTAGGATCCTACTAGCTATACCCTAGAGGAGGAGGAGGAAGAGGAAGAGACCGGCGGAGGTACGGATAACTATATTAGGGAGACCTAGATTAATAGTTCTTAGAAGAGGGTATAGCGTACGAAGTTTATATAGAATAAGGAGCGTACTCTTAAGCTCAAAGTATTGAAAATATACTCGGACTTTATCTATTTAAACCGTTATAGAGGTATATCGTATAGAACAATACCTAGTTTATATAGTAGAGGTAGTAGGTATTAAGCAATATAGCAAAATAGCGGTATATACAAGAACCTGCAAAAGAACTAAATAGGTTACTCAAATAGGTAATCCGACAACCTACTATAGGTTATCGACCTATAGCGACAGGTTTTTAATCTACGCGATATATCGACGAGGTTTAAGAATCTATACTATATATTTAGAGCTATAAAAGCGTTTAATAGATAGAAGGTATATATTTCGAGACTTTATTCGCGTTTAATATATAGAAACTAGGGGACCGTAGGTTATATAGTAGGTTTCTAGCCGCCTATTAAATAGCCCCTAACTGCTCGACCGAGACCTATCCTCCTATATAGCCTCTCTATATCTACCGAGCTACGTCGACTACAATTAAGGCAGCTAGTATATATCGCGAATAGAAAGGCTATAGCTAGGCCGATCGTATATTTATTATACCTATATCGTAAGGAGATAGAGGGTCCGATATCGCCTTCGACGCTCCGAGGCTATAGAAGCTAGGAGGTATACCTTCCTAACCCTAATCTAGAAGGCGTAGCTCGAGAGGAAGGGCGTCGCTCTACTATAGGCCTAGACTATCCTTATCCTCCTCGCGTAGGCCTTCGCGCTCTCTACCCTATCGTACGCGTAGTATCTCCGTCGACGGCTACTAACTATATTATATAGTATAGGCCGTCTCGGGAGATACCTACCGCCCTCTCTAGCCCTCCGGGCAAAGTACGGTCTACTATTATATCGTACCTCTATCTACCGGGCATCTAACCGTACGGTCGTCGTATTTAGTCGAGTCTGCCTATCTCTATCTCTACGTTTATATAGTGTCCTCTTATCCTACTAAACTACCCCTTTCCTCTCTCTCCTACTCGACGACGCCTCGCCTTCTACTCGAGAGTCCCCTAGAATATCTACCTTCTATCGTCGTTATCGCGTACCCGCCGCCCTCCCTACCTTTCCTTCCGCCTCGCCTCCCTTCTCTTCTACCCGGTCCGAGGGTACTCTTACGTATTCTAGATCCGCTCGTCCTCGTCGTCCTCTTCCTTATTCTTCTACTCGGTCGTCGGGGGCGCCTCTATATCTAGGAGTAACCCTATAGGACTCTATTGTCTACCCTCCTCCTCCCTACCCTTCTCTTCGCCTAACTCCCGATAGTAGTACTTCCGATCGAGATATAAAAAAGTAGTATAGAGGGGCCCGAGATAGTCGTCGAGTATCTCCTTAGTCGAACGCCGACATCTGCTATAATACTAGCCCTCCCGCTCCTAAGTCGCGTAGCCGAGGAACATTTATAGCCTCTATACGACGCGGACCCTCTTATATACCCGTCGCTCGTCGGCTGTACCGCTCTCGTCCTATTCCTACGAATAGGATCCTACGTTAGAATACGACCGGGAATACCGACCTAAACGCGAACGTAAACGCCGGCCGCCTACTAGCCTACCTCCCTCCTCGCCGTTAACGTTCCTATCCTCCTCGCTCTCCTCCTCCTCCTCGTCTCTAATTCTACCTGCCCTTATATTGTCTACCCTCTTACGCTTCCGCCGCCCGACCCCTCCTCCGCTACTAGCCTTACCGCGCCCTCTCGCCGAAGCTACCTAGTTGCCTACTACTCGTAGTATAACCTTATCCTCCTATAGCTTAGGTATAAATGCCTCTGCCGTCCGACGGAGTGCTCTCTAGCTACTACGCGCATTTAATACGGCAATGTTAGATACGATTATACGCTTGTCTAGCGGCGCCCGACTACCTATATATATACGTCGCTCTAGGTTAAGTCTAGTATCGCGCGCCTTTAACTATACGTTCTATACTACGTCGATAGTAAAGCCTTACTTACAGTTCGCTATAATAGTATATAATAGTCGCTTCGACGCCGCCTTCGGAGAAGCTACTATTGTCTACGTCTTAGGCCGCAACTTGTCCTACTAGTCTTTGCCCTAGGCTACGTCGATAATCCGCAAGCTCCCGAGCTTCGTAGAAATCGTCGATAGCCCTAGCGTTAGGTTTAGTTATAAGATCTTAGTATTATCTAGAGTCGCGAGTAGTCCTAGAAGCTTCTATCGCCTATTACTAGGGATTACGTCTAGCCGAAGTTCGAATAGCGTATACTAGAATAGATATACAATCGTATTCTACGCGCCTTCTAGATAGTCTCTAAATTCGCCTAGGATCTTGTACAACCTCTCCTCCGGCGGTCGTATATCCTCCTTATAATATAGGCGCTCTAAGAGCATACCTTCTATCCCTTCCGACGACGTCCGTCCTAGCTAATCTACTATGTCCTACCTTAGGATATACGCTAGCCGGGCTTTAAGGTCTTCCGCGTTCGTAGCGTAGACCCTATCTAGCTACGTCCCCGTCGTTACGTCGGCCGGATTATATAGGAGTATAGCGGTCGTATCGGCGTCGGGCGTCGATATCCTACTATTACGTAAGCTCGAAGAAGGGCGTCGAGAAGAGTAGCTAGCCGAAGAGCTATAGTATATATCCTCTCTTTCCTCCTCTTAGTAGCCTAGTATATCGCTTACCGCTAATTGTCCTAGCTCCTGCCCTTCTCGATTCGAATCCTTCTAAGAAGATTCGCTCGATCGCTATCGGGTTAGGAAGCCCTCTATCGGCGTCGTCGCTAGGAGATTACCTACTAGGGGACTAGCTAAGGGCCTCGCTTCGAAGGAAGCAATCGGCGATAGTACCGGATATACGGTCGCTCGCTCTATCGTTAGTCGTTATAATAGGATACCCGTACTACTACTACTAGGACTACCGCCGGACCTACCCCGAACGAACTTCGCTAGCTAGCGTCGTCGTACTATAGGTAGAAATCTACCCTTGCCCTATACTAAGAAGGACTACGAGGCTAGGGGGAGTATAGCCTTACTAATCTAAGTACTATACTTACCCTATAGGCCCTCGCTCGCTCGATATAGGACGGGTATAGCACTCTATCCTCGTACGACCTAGTATAGATTCCTAAGTTACTACTATTATTTCTCTAAGCATCCTATAGCGGTACCGCGCCTAGTCGTAGTTGCCTGCCCTATAGCCGATAAGATCTCGAGCTGCTCCTACTAGTATCCTTAGGATCGCTAGATCCTTACTAGACTAGTCGGTACGGCGTACGTATCGCTTACTAGAGATCTACTCCCTACTAATAGAAGATAGATCGCAAAGTTTGTTATAGACAGACAATAGCTAACCCGTACCTAATAACTAGGCAACAATCCTATATCCTTTAGAAAGGCGCCGGCGCTAGAGCAATAGCTATAGGTCGTCGTCCCCTAGCGCTATTAAAGCTACTATTATAGATAGTAGCCTACCGGGCGCTATATCCCTTCTCTCCGACTCCCTACGCTTACTTCCCTTCGAGCCGTACTAAACGACCTTACCTACGCTCTATCGCCTCTCCTCTCGATCCTTAACGCCGTATAATAGACGCCCTTGCCTAGGTATTTACTTACCTTCCTAACCGCCGTATCCTCGTATACAATCGGTACGAGTACGCTGTCGTCCCTAAGGGCGTTTCGACCTACCTCCTCTAGAAATATAAATCTCTAGACCTCGAGTATCGACGATAAGTTATCGAGGCCGTCGCGACCCTTCCTAACCTCGTATACTACCCCGAGGACGTTATTTACCCTACCGCCGCCGACGAGCCTATTCCCGGGATTCCTATCTATACTAGATTTATATACAACTACCGGTCGTCGGACGGGAGAGTATATAGCTAGGTATACTAAACGTACTAAGCTATCCGGGACTATTCGGTAGAGAACTATAGTATAGTCGTCTAGAGTAAGGCTAGTAATAAGAGGACGTAGTTAAAACAGATCTCGAATAGCTAATAGAAGGTCGGTATCTCCTACTAGATGCTCTTCTAGGCCTATAAGTAGAAGACTAATACTAAGGTATAATTCTAGGAGACGACGAGAGAGGACGACGGAGAGCCGCCGCTACTACGTAAGCGCGGCGCCGACAATCGCGAGTCCTTTATCGCTACGGAACTCGAGCTTCTAAAGCTACGCTACCGGGAAAGAGACGCTGCCCTCTAGAGGATAAGCTCTATATCTAGGTACCGGTCGACGCTCGAGGACTAGGTCTCTTCGATAGGTATTCTCGTATATCTTACCGAGCTCGATCGCGAGGAGATTAAGGCCTTGTATATACTTCCCCCTCCTTCGGCTAGTAGCGAGCCGTTCCTCGCTACCGTCCTCTCCTACCTCGATACCGCTCTAGGTCGAGTATATAACGCCGCTCGACCGGGCCTAGCTTACTACCTCTCTGTCTCCGGCCGTATAGCGCTAGTTCCGTAGGCGCTAGAGGGTAGCGCAAAGCCCTTCTATATCGGCAAGGAGGTAGATACCCTTTATAGATACTATACTATAGCTAAGCAGCTCGTCTACTACGCCGCCTATATCCTATTCGGTACTAGTTACTTTACTATTCCTTCCGTTAACCCCGGTACCGTTATTCGCGCTAGCCCGCTAGCCTAAAGGATATAGTAGGCGCTATAGGCCGCCCTCGACGAGCGCGGAGACTACTCTATAGAGGATATCGACATCCTAGGTTAGACGATCTCGCTACTTATAGGCCTAATCCGGGACGAGACGGTAGGCTACTTGGCCTTCGTATCGCTACTCGTTAGTTTTAGCGCGATGCTCGCTATCTTACCTAGTATAGGCGCCTAGATCGAGCTATACAACTATACGAGTTACCTATCCGCTATTATCTAGATTACCTAACTCGTCGTCTTCGACGCCTGTCGCCGCGCCTTCTACCCCGACTAATTAACCGATACTATCCGTACCGTAGCTAATAACTATCTATTCCCCTCCGGAGAGACGGTAGTAGGCGAGGTCGTCCGTCTCCGGAGGTAGTTAATATACTATACGTAGTCTACTGTCTCCTACTACTATATAAGCTAGAAGAGTAGTACAGTCGCCTACTACCGTAGCGTAAGCTACGATATAAGCCGTATTAGAGCCGTTATCCGGAGGGCGTACTATAATACCTAGTACGTCCTCTATCGTACTCTCCTCGGCGGCCGGACCCTTCTCCCGATAACGGCCGACCGGCTATAGGATAATATTAGCAACTCGACGCCTAGCTTCGACTTTACGCGCTACTACGCTAACAAGTATCTTATTACGTATATATAGCCCTTCGCGCTCCGCGCTATCCTCGATACCGGTATCGAGCCCTTCGTCGAAGGATCTAGGAAGGAGATCCGCTAGGCCGATAACGCCCTATTCTTATATAAGGCCGAGGTACAGATATTTCTAGAGTACCTCGTAGCCCTAATCTACCTTACCGGCGGCTAGCTACTATACGCGTCCGAATTTATATCGATAACGTAGTCGAATATAATATCGCCTCGGTCTATCGCTATCTACTAACGCTATATAGTTATTTACGTACAGTACTATAAGGGCCTTGCTATTACCGGGCAACTAAAGCAGAACGTCCGCTTCTTCTACCTAGCGGTATCGAACCTTGTCCTAGATTACCTCTACTACGTATAGCCTCTACGATATATTCTTAGTAAGTATATATCCTCTATATACGAGCAGTCGGCCTACCTATAGGAGAGCTATAGGAAGCGCTAGCCCGCCGAACGTCTAAGTACTATCCTCTATAATACTACTTCCCGAGCGGTAGGACTACTGCTCTTAGTGTTTACCTAGCGATAGTTAACGGTCGGGATTGTTAAAACCTATCTTATAGGATTACGCTCTACGTTCGATCTCGGTCCTAACTAAGGCGAGGGCGAGAGCAAGAGCAAGGATAAGGACGAGGACGATATAGAAGCCGTCCTCGCCCGCTAGCGGAACTATATACTCTAGATAGTATACTACCGATATACTAACTAGGTCTATTTTAGCGCCGGCCTATAGGACGGGCTCCTCGTCGTAGGCCGTAAGGCGTCGGATACGTAGTAGGACTACTAGGACCTCGATCGCCCCTTCGATATACCGAGTAACGAGCTATAAGTCGAGCCCGACCTCGCCGTCTGTCTAAAGAGGACCCGAGTATATAAGGACGACGATAGCGCTACGCTACTCGCCGCGGCCCGTCGCCTTACCGGTATTACCGACTTCAAATAGCGCTCTATATAATAGCTCGTAGCGCTACGTACGATCCTAGGGAAGGTAGAGGAGATTGTCGTCGTTATATCTATAGGAGCTAGTAAGAGCCTACTGTTTATACTCTCCGTATTACTCTATACTATAGATACTATAGTCGTTATCCTACCTCTTATCTCCCTCTACGCTAATATAGTATACTGCCTTCGCTCCCTTAAACTAGACTACTCGGTCTAGGCGCCTAGGAGTCGCTAGCGTACGCCCGTCGTCCTTGTTAGTATCGAAGCCGCTAGTATACAAGACTTTATAGAATATATATAGGGCCTCGTCGTAGACAGCTAGCTCGACCGAATAGTAATCGACGAGGCCTACCTAACTATCGCTGCCTTCGAGTACTGCCCGGTAATAAACGTAGCCTCCGAGCTCCGCCGTCTCTATACCTAGTTCCTCTACCTTACTAGTACGCTCCTCTCTAGTATAGAGGCCGACTTTCGCCGGTATAACTGCTTCGCTACCTCTACGATCCTACGTATAGACTATAACTATCTCTAAGTCGTATATACTATCGAGCGCTATTCCGAACTAGCCGACGAGCTATATAGCTAGATATACTCCTATATTCTCTACGCCTAGGAATACCCTAAGTTCTAGCGGTCGTACGATCGTATCCTAGTCTATAGCAATATCCGCGCCGAGGCCGCCGAGCTTGCCGGATATCTTGACTATAAGGCCTATACGTCCTACTCTAGCAACAAGGAGGATAAGTTAGCTATCCTCGACCGCTAGATAGGAGACGGAGGTAGTACTGTTCTAGTCGCTACTACCGCCTTCGTAGAGGGCTTCGACCGGCCTAATATCCGCTATATTGTCTACGTCGGCGCCTCTACGGCCTTTACTAGCTACCTCTAGCAAGTTAGGCGAGCAGGTCGTAACCTCCGTACTACGTATACCTACGTCCTACTACCCGGCGACTAGGTACCGGAATAGGATACTAGCGTAGAATACGACGGAGATACGTCGTATAGGCTACTCGACTACGATATAATCCGCTAGCGAGAACGGGTCGCTATAGATCGCTATCTCGCTGCTTAATAATACCTACGGCTAACGATCCGCTAGTACCTAAATGCCTAGAGCGTTAAGTAGTACGGCTA